AAGGAACTTTGCTTAAAGCCAGGAAACAGGTTAGGATTCTGTTCAAATGGTAGGTACATGAACCTATCAGTCTCATGTACTTTATTTTCTTTCTGGTTCCATTTTTCCTATTAAATTCTGGGATATAATATTCAACTCCAGACTTTGTCCCTACAATTAAGTTGTCCATTTTCTTAGTTTTTGAACTCTTATTTCTGTGTGTCTGCATTTAATTTTACTGACATAGCACTCCCTTAAGAAGTTATTTGAGGCTTTGTTTATCTGAGAATATTCATCTTTTCTTCCCAAATGAATGATAATCTTGCTGGGTACAGTATTCTCGGTTGAAGTTGCTTTTCTCTTAACACTTTAAATATATTTTCCCATTCTTTCATTGCTTGCATTGTTTCCGATGAGAGGTTTGCTGTTAGTCTGATGGGATACCCTTTGTAGGTAACTTGTCGTTTTTCTCTTGCCAATCTTAGTATCTTGTCTTTGTCTGTGGTTTTGGTCAACCTGGCTATAATGTGTCTTGGAGAAGATCTTCTTGGATTGATTCTATTTGGGGTCCTTTGTATTTCTTGGGACTGAATCTTTGAGTGTCTCTCTAGGTTTGAAAAATTTTCTTGCAGGATTTCATGAAATAGACTATCAATGCCCTTATGAATCTCTTTGCCTTCTGGAATGCCTATTATCCAGATGTTTGGACATTTGATGGTATCTAGTACTTCTCGTATATTATTCTCAAATTCTTGGGCCATTTTCTCAGTCTTTTTGGTGATTTCTTGCTTTCTGTCTCTCTGTCTCTCTCTGTCTGTCTGGAGAGTGCACATACCCTATAGCAAAATAAAAAAAGTATTATCTTTTAACATTATGAATCTTTTTACTTCCTCCTCTGCCCCCCCATAGGGCACATGTGCTTGCCAGAGAGGGAGACAGAGAGAGGGAAAGTGACAAATCTCTCTCACTCCTGGGAGGATGACCATGCTGCAATCCCTATTCTTCCATTCACCTCTCAGGATTTCGGACATGCACGAACACATGCCTGTTATGATTTTCAAGCTGTTGGTTCCAGGACTTGAATTGTGGTCCACCATGTAGGACACCAGTGCCTTAATTACAATGCCACCTGCTGGCCCTGAGTCTTCTTACTTTCTGTTTTCAAGTTTACTTTTTTCTGATTTCATCTTTAACATATCCTTCTACTTATATTTAGGTTTACTGTGCTTGTTTTCTCTACTAATTTTTTAGCTTAGTTGAAATCACTTTCAATTCAATATTTTTTCTTTTAATAAATGTAGTTGAGAACAGTTTTATACTGTTTGAAAGCAATATACAGGTTTTTTTCTGAACATTAAAAAAAATGCACTGAAGCATTTTTCATGTTCCTGCTTTCTCCAAAATTTATAAGGGAGAATTCTTCCTTGTCTTTTTCACTTCTGGTGTGACTCTCAGTCCTTGGAATTCCTTAGCTTGTAGTTGATCACTCTTGTCTTTGTCTCTGTCCTCACAACTGTTTGTCTTCATATAGTATTTTCCTCTTCTTGTAAGGACACTAGGCTTACTGAATTAGGGACTATCCCAAAGACCTCATCTCAGCTTTCAACTTGATTCTTTCTGCAAAGATCCCATTTCCAACCAAGGCCATGTTCAGGTACCAAGAGTTAGGACATTTCCATGTCTTTTGGGGTTTTGTAATTCAACCCATCAGGACAGAATGCAAAACTGAGTCCCAAAAAGAATAACCTGCTCAAGGTCAAATAGTTTCATTACTATTAATTACTAATCATATTTCCCAGATCAGAGACTTTTCTCAGACACTATAAGGTACGTCCCATTGCAAATACTTCAAAATAGTATTGAAGTATTATAATAGTATATGCATGATAAATACCAACTCTGGAAAATAAAATCTTTGTTCATCCACTAGGGGGAGCCAGGCTCAATAGGGCTCCCAGGACAACCAGGGGTTCCAGGAGAAGATGGAGCTGCAGGGAAGAAGGTAACCAAGTTTTTATTTTCAATGGTGGAGAAACTATTGACCCAAACTGATATCTTGGTCCTGCAGGAGCTCGTTTAAACCATCCAGGAAAAACTTGGTTCTTTAAAAACAAGCAAAAAACCCAAAATAAAACAAAACCCCTACAGTTTTTGGTTTCTCTTTTTTCTTACCCCAGGTAGGAAGAGCACCAAATCAAAGGTTAAGGTAGTGTCTTATATTCTCTTATTTCTCTCTGGAGTTTTGGCTATGGTGTTCTCCAGTAACCTCGCTCCTTCAGGACTTCTAGAAAACATTAATTTAAACTTGGAGGAAAACACATTTTTATCACCAAAAGGAAAGTCTGTAAATACATTCAGGAAGTAAGGCCATTGTAAAGATTTCCTGTATTATTTTGACTTGACATTTGAAATATTCATTTTCCAATAAAAGTACTAAAAAACAGCAGATGGGAAGGCTGAAGGTCTTTCTTGCTAAAGAAAAATATTCACCAAATGTGAATAAAGAGCCAAAGGAAAGTGAGCTTATTGCTTTGAAAATTGGCTGACAAAGTAGACTTTTTCGTGATATTTCAGCTGTTCTGAGTTAAACTAGAGTTTGATGTTAATTTATTCAAATTGATAAGCTTCCAAATTAATTTTGAGATGACAGTGAAAGTCTGGTCTATTTTGGAGGGTCTCAGCCAAACCCACTGGCAATAAGAGGAGACAAGGTGGGGTTATATATACTGCTTTTGGAGGTCAGCCAAGACATCAGTGTCGTTTCCTCTAGGGAGAAGCGGGGCTTCCAGGAACAAGAGGCCCAGAAGGACTGCCTGGAAAAGGACAACCTGGCCCCAAGGTATGGAAATGACAGTGTGCTGGGGGAAGCAGACTGTCCATGTTCTGGTCTTGAAATTAGGGAGTCAACTTGAGAAAAATCGGATTGTTATTCTTGCTGTGTCAAATGTATTTATGTCTGGCTTAAAGTTACATATATTATCTTGTGAACTTTTGGGAAATAGAAATGTGTGTTATTCATGTTTCTTATCCTAGTGTCTATCCTGAAATCCAGGATATAGAAGACTTCAACACATGTTTGCCCAGTAAATAGATTCACTTTTTTAAAAAATGAAAGGAAAAGAAGCCTTGGGACACACCACTGAAACTTGAAAGTTGTGAATTTTCTTCAACTAGTAAATCTCACACAATAAGAAATAATACCTTATTAAATGGCAATTTCACTTCACAAGTTAGTACAAATTTGATGTGTACACTATAGAAGTGGTAGTTGAATAATATCTTTATATGTCAAAGTGAGAATATATAAATCATCAATAGCATAAGATAAACAGTGACATAACCTCTAGCTCTAAGGTGCCAGATGTTGCTACAATTTTTATATATAGTCATTACTGCCCATATAAAAGATTCTTATAGATTACATTTGAACCAAATATATTACTATTATATTTATAATTCAAATAAAATAATAATTAACAGCTTAAGGAGCCTATATCTTACAAATACATTAGCTAAAAATGTAATGTTAATCTTAAATATGAGAATTTGAAATTTAAATATTTCTGTAGATTTTCAAACATTTTTTAAAACTTACCAGATTGTGAGTATTATCCTATCTGGGGGGCCAAGGAGACAAGGAACACCTTTTTGACATCATGCAAAATATGCTTTTAGAATTTCTGGCCGGTTAATGTTCAGGAGAACTAGCGTTTCCAAAAGTAGACTTTTTGAAAATACAGACTTAGAGTTACTAGTTGAAGCTATGAGAATCAATAATATCTCTGAGAAAGAGAGCTGAGATTTGAGCCCCATATTGTGGGATAGCTGGAGAAGAGCATTTGGAGCACTAAGCAGAGTAGTCCCATATCAGAGGAACCAAGGAGAAAGGATTTTAGGACAAAAGGGATAGGTGGTATCAAATGCCACCAAAAAAGCAAGGAGAATATGCTATGGAAAGAGAGATTGCAGATTCATGGCATTGAGGCCATTTGTGGCTTATGGAAGACTATTTTACAAGAGTGGTAGAGATACGTTATAAAGCCTATATTTGCCATGGTTCAGCACTGACAGTTTATTATATTTAGTTGGGTTCTTCTATGAAGGTACTTCAAAAGTTTATGGAAAAGTAGAGTTAAAGTATGGATTTACTTGGGTGCAAAAATATTTAAGTTGACTGGGTCAGCAGGTGGCATGGAGGTTAAGACCTCTGGATACAGCACAGCTGATTGCATGGTTCAAGTCCTGGACCTCTCAGCCTGAAAACATGTGTGTGTGTCCAAAATTCCAAGAGATTGGAGGAGAAGGGATTAAGGCATGGCTATCCCCCTGAGGGGTAATTTCTCATTTTCCTCTCTCTCTCTCTGGTGAGTGCATGTACCCTATATAGAAAAGAAAAATTACTAAAACTATGTGTCTGTGTCTGTGTACACATATTATAAACATGTACATGTGTGCGTGTGTGTGTACATTGACAAATATGTACAAATGAGTTATGTTTGGAGCACATCACTTTAAATTAAAATCCATGCATAGTTTTTTCATAATACACATTGTCATGAACTTTTTTTTTTTTGAGAGGTTTTTGCTATAGGGTGTGTGCGCTCGCCAGAAAGGCAGAGAGAGACAGAGAGACAGAAAGTGAGAAATCACCCCACAGGGGGAATGACCACACTGGAATCCCTTCTCCTCCATTCTCCTCGGGATCTTGGGCACACATGCACACATACCCAGTGTGAGTTTAAGCTGCCTGGTCCGGGACTTGAACCGTGGTCAACTACGTGGGAGTCCAGTGACATAGCCATTACGCTAACTGCTGGTCCCATGTCATGAACTTTTTGAGAACCTCTCATATTGCATAAAATCTTCATGAACTTTGTGAGGACCTCTTCATATCGCATAAAACCTTCTGAGGTAATTTAGTTCAACACATCAAATTTAGTAGTAAGTGGAAGAAAATAAATAGTCATAGTTCAGTTTTTTCTCTTTTGGCAAATGATGGTATAATAAATGATATTTAACATCTAGTTATTTTATTTTTTATATCTTGTGCCACAATTCTTCAATAGCTGGGATCAAGTAGTTAATAGTATTTCTGTAGATTTCATAGGAGTCACCTCATATTCTTGGTAAAGAGTATGTTTTGCTGATGACTTTAGTCCAGTGGTTTTCCAAATGTAGTCCCTGGACCATCAGCATCACCTGGAAACACATTAGGGATGCAAATTCTTGGGCCCCAATGCAATGCAAATTCTTGGGCCCCAGTGCAGACCTACTAAATCAGAAATTCTGGGTCTAGGGCCCAGCAATCAGTGGTCTAATAAGCCCTCCTTGTGATTCTGATTCTCAAATTTGAAAACCATGGTACAGACATTTATATTTTAAATATCTAAATGGCCTGAGCTGCAAATTGTGAGGAATCATGCCTTTGTTGAGCTGGGAACATGTCTGGATAGGATGCCTTGCAGTTGAGTCCTTGTTGAAAGGCCATGAGGCTACTGATTAAAGGAAACATAATTATTTTGAGGGGAACACTGCTGTTCATGGTCATGTTGGGGAACAGTGGTCAGTGGTCAGTTTTTAGCTCTGCCCTAGGTTTACATGCAAGAATCTTCCCATGGTAAGATTATTTCCCTCCTTCGGAGGAAAGTACTAGACTCCCTACTGAGGAAGAAGTGGGGGTGTGATTTGAAAAATGTTTCATTTTATATTTTAAAACTGAAATAGCAAGAAAACTGACAACCAGTACGAAAAACCATAGATAGCTCTCTTTTCTGAAACTGTGAATGTCTTAGAACCATCTGTTAATAGACCAATGGTGCAAAAGAACTGTAAATTCAAATAAAAGTTTCCAAAGAAGAATATAGAACTTAGATTTTAAAACATATTAAATGAATGGTGAAGTCTAAAGTCATCCAGTCTGCTTAAGAACATTGACAAGTGAGCTGCGCCTGGGGCATATTACTTTAAAATTATTTTGGTGTTAGTTGAGATTCTCCATGGTCATTATTAGATTGGGGAGGGTTAATTTATAATCTGCATTTTTATGATTACTTTGTTAGGGCGATGAAGGAAAGAAAGGAAGCAAAGGAAATCAAGGACAAAGGGGATTTCCAGGGCCCGAAGGGTCAAAGGTATGCTTCTTATATTCTCATTCATGCTTTGAGATGATCGTAACTGTCTGGTTTTAAGAGACTATTAGATTTCCACCGCAAATTCTGTTCCTTGCTTCCTTCCTAACAAATATAAAACAGAAATCCCAAGTAAAAATGCCTTTAGAAAACAGACTATTGCTAGAGCACAATGCAATGGAATGAAGAGGATTATATATATTGATAAAATGTGTAATCTTTATAAAAATATTTATGCTTCTAACAGAAAATCTGTATGTCAGTGCCCTCTAGTAACAACCAAATATTCAGGAGTGGGAATGAGTCAGACCACAGGAGATATCAGTTCTCTATCATCTTGTTTTACTGAATAACAACAAAAATCCAAGACAGAAGCCACACAGTGATGAGGAAGAGTAGGCTGCTGAAGGCACTTCTCCATCCTTCTTTGCCCTGAAACTTGTGAAACCAGTCACCGCAGTAATAGAGGTTAATAAGATGACCAGTCTCACAGGCTGACTCTGAGAACTGAGAGACTAAGAAAGCACTCAGCATAGTTCCTAGCATATAGTAAATGTTGAACACATGGAGTTATTCAGAGAGGAAAACCAATACTGTGAAATGAAAAGTAGAGGATCAGTTTTTGGTAAACTATCTGGAACAAGGAGCTGCAAAAAAAGTGAAGGAGATTGTGAGGAGAGCAGTTAGGTATGTTTCCTGGCTTAGCCGTGGAGAACACTGAGGTTGTTTAAAAGTGTTGGCAAACAGAAACTGCAAACCTATAAGGGTTCGTGCCTCCAGGAAGATTCTAATTGTAAGAAAGAGATGAATATGTTTAAGGACCAGATCGAAAAGCAAATTTAACAAAATATATTCAGGTACAAAACAGAACATCACCTGTAAACCTGTGATTCTTTACTGTGGTGTCCACTAGTATCACCTGGGAGCTTGTTATAAATCCACATTTCTTGCTCCCCTTCCCAGAGATCTGGATTTCAGAAATGGATTAGCCCCAAGAATCTGCATTTTTCACATAAGTGACCTTTGCTGCAAGTAGTTCAAGAAGCACATTGTGTGACCAGCAGATGGCGTAGTGGTTATGTCGCTGGACACTCATGTAGGTGACCTTAGTAAGTCCCGGACCTGGTTGCTTGAAACTCACGCCAAGCACATGTGTGTGCATGTCCAAGATCTCAAGAGGAGAATGGAGAAGGGATTGTGGCATGGCTGTTCTCCTGGAGAGTGATCTCTCCCTTTCTGTCTCTCTGTCTCTCCCTCAGGTGCACATAGCCTATAGCAAAAACCTCTCTTAAAAAAAAAAAGAGGCATATTGTGAGCAATCCCACTGTATAAGAAGCATGTTGTATTATCAATAGTATTAATAACAGTGACTACATCTTAGTTACTGTTATGCAAGTGAGTATTTCTCTGTTTTGAAATAAAATTTTTTTAATGTGAAGATGGAGAAGTGCTATAGTAATACATAAACATATCTTTTTTTTTTTTTTTCGAGAGGTTTTCACTATAGGGTGCATGCGCTCGCCAGACAGACAGAGAGAGACATAGAGACAGAAAGTGAGAAATCACCCCCCAGGGGGGATGGTCACGCCGCAATCCCTTCTCCTCCATTCTCCTCTCGGGATCTTGGGCACGCACGCACGCACATGCACCCGGCATGAGTTTTAAGCCACCAGGTCCGGGACACGAACCGCGGTCGACTATGTGGGAGTCCAGCGACATAGCCATTACGCTAACTGCAGGTTCCCCATAAACATATCTTATAAAGGGCATTTAAGAGAACTGTATACTTTCTATAATATGTACATATTTTTAAAAAGTATTTTATCTCTTTAAAAAGAAACAGAACAAATAGAATCTAGAAACATAATTTTTATTTTATCTTGGGTTTAGCGAAGAATTTTAAAAGGCTAATGTTTTGTGCTTTTGTTTGGAACAGGACGTTTATCACTAGGTCCTGGAGTATCACATGCCACTGCCTTACAGGTTTAGATTTAAGGGCTGGCACACACATACTGTAGCATGAACTGGGCCCAGGAGACTGGTTAGAATAACTCTGAATAACTCCATGTGTTGAACACTTACTATTAGACAATTAGCAGAGCTGGGGTGTGAAGGTGAACATGGCTCAGGGTATGAGTCATCGTCAGTGAATCTGATGGCTAGAGTCCCTCCTGGAAGAAGCTGAATCATCTAAAGGGCATCATACTATTGGGTTCCTGAGGATATAAATCAGCCAGAGGTGGGATTAGTCACCAATCTGAGATCCTAGAGGGTCAGGATGAAACAGCACAGAAACATAGCACTTCATTCTTGAAGGAACACCTTTTTTTTTTTTTTTTTTCGTGAAGGAGCAGATGAAAAAATCTGTCCATGGATAGAAAATATTTTTGGTTTTACAGACCAAGAGGAAAAATTGAGGATTTTATTTAGGTTCACATATGCAATCATTTAAAAATATGAAATCATTCTTAGCCTGAGGCTGTGCAAAATTTGGGGCAGGCTGGATTTGGCCCATGGTTTGTGGCAGTTGACAGACACCTATCCTAGAGCCTGTTTTGATGATAAGCTCCCGCCAGTAAGTTTTGACCACACTCCAGTACAGTTTATTATTTTTTTATTGTAATTTTTTCAGAGGTTTTAGCCTGAGGGTGCATGCACTTGCCAGAGAGAGAGACAGAGACAGTGAGAGGGAAAGTGAGAAATCACTTCCCTTTCTGGGAGATGGCCATGCCATAAACCCTTCTCCTCCATCCTCTGCCCAGGATCTTGGGCACGCATGCACACGTGCCCAGCGTGAGTTTCAAGCCACTGGGTCTGGGATGTGAACCACAGTCGGCCATGTGGGAGCCCAGTGCTATGCCATCTGACCCCTAATTATAATTTTAATTAATAAACTATCATACCAATAATAGGAAATTTATATAAGTAATGAAAAATTTAAAAGACATGATAAAAATATGTAGAGAAGTCCTAATATTTTCTCCTTTGTCCCAATGTGTCAGTTTGAGCAACTTGTAGTGTGCAGCAAAGATTGCTTTGGAATAGTGTTTCCAAAGTGTGGTAATGGTACATATGTCAGATTGACCAGAGGTGCTTCATAATAATTTGTATTTTGGGGCACCAGCTTCTAGACCCATTATATCTAAATGTCTGGGGCTTAAAACCTAGGATTCTGCATTTACCAAATTTGAGAATCATTGATCAAGAAGAATTATCTGTTGTTCCAGATTGAATCTTTAACTTGATAATAACCACCACTCCCAAAACAAACCAAAATAAAAAGAGAGAAAGAAATGTTTTAATTTTTCTATTAAAAGTTTTCATTTTTTTTAACTATAAGTGCTCTATTTCTAGAAAAGAATGTAAGGTAACATGCGATGGGAGACTGATATACCATGGTCTATTAAAATAAGACAATAAACAAGAAAGATTTAAAAACTAGAAGTCTGTCCTAAAACTTATGCTGAAGATACATGATAAAATTGAACAAAAATTTTCTCTCTAAGCTTTCTGGCATATCACACAACAGGGAAGCAGTATGAATTGCATACTTTTTATTAGCTAATAAAAGAGATACAAGAGATAAAATTTTTCTATCATTCAGGAATTAATTGAATACATTTATTTAAAGGTGCTGAAATCTTACTGGTCAATAGCCTCAGCAGTGGTTTCCAAAACATGCTCAAATTATTTTTATGTTAGTCTTTAAAGCAAGGCTATAATATAATTCTAAAATCTACAGGCATTTTCTGTCAATACTTTTCTCATATATTTCCCATATATGGTTTCTCTGCCTGAACTATAATGAATATTATACTCTTTTTAAGGGTGAGCCAGGCATTATGGGCCCTTTTGGAATGCCTGGAGCGTCAATTCCTGGACCACCTGGGCCAAAGGTATGTATTTTTGAAAATATTCTTTTTTTCTTTTGCTTGAACTAGGTAGTTGGAGGAAAAATGTATAATTTTAAAAACTGAGGCATAGTTTTAGTTTTAGAGAAGCCCTAAGAAGTTATCTAACTCAACTCTGATAGTTCACGGAAGAACAAACTAAAAGTCACCGTCAGGGTTAGGACTAGATACCAGGCTTCCTGCTCCTAGTCCTGTACTTACAACCTCACCTTGCACTACCTCTCCCAAATCCTAGATCCTAGTGCTGGTTAAAATATTACTACATTGGGAACCAGCAGTTAGCGTAATGGCTATGTCGCTGGACTCCCACGTAGTCGACCGCGGTTCACGTCCCGGACCTGGTGGCTTAAAACTCACACCGGGTGCGTGTGTGTGCGTGCCCAAGATCCCGAGAGGAGAATGGAGGAGAAGGGATTGTGGCGTGACCATCCCCTCTGGGGGGGGGGTGATTTCTCACTTTCTATCTCTCTGTCTCTCTCTGTCTGTCTGGCGAGTGCACGCGCCCTATAGTGAAAACCTCTCAAAAAAAAAAAATTACTACATTTATTCAGAAGGCTCTGCTAGGATTTATCATTGAAAAGTCTAGCAGAAAAGAAATCTACTCAGTTTAAAGAGCATTTCTAGTCATTATTACTCTCTAAAAGTCGCCACATTGTTTCAGTGGACTTTCTCCAAACAGGAGTAGTAGTCTGCAAGGGCAGGTTTTATTTCTTAGTGTATGAGAGTGGCTGACTAGCACTATTTCTTAAAGACTAACATCTTGAGGCCCTCCATTTTCCTGTGTATGCTGGGGTCATTTAGGATAACAATCTGCTTCCCTCCTCAGTCCAGCTAGGTATTGTTAAAACAGATTGATAAAGCTGGGGTCAGGGACAAACGCATACACAAACCAGGTGTAGTTCCTTTGAATTCCTTTTAAAAGCCCGGCTTGCGGTTTGCTTTTGAGTGTGGTGGCAAAAGGCTGATCAGGAAGTACAACAGGGTGAGGAGTATGGGGTCACCGTCCCTCTGACCCATTCCCATTTGTGAGTTACCCTATAATAAACTCCTGCATAGTGCTTTACTGGGGTTGTCTTGTTTTGCTTTTGGTTTCACTGATCATGCCCTGGAACATTTAGAATTTGAAATTCCCCTTAAATATGTTAGAAGAATATAGATCTACAATGGATAGATTAAGCTCTTTACAGATTGGCCAATTTCTTTTTTGGTATGTACTGTTGTGGCTTTTTCTGCAACTTGTGGTCTGTGAATGTTATTTGAAATATACAGGGAGATAGAGGAGGACCTGGGATGCCTGGATTTAAAGGAGAACCTGGACTTCCTATTCGAGGCCCAAAGGTATGTTTTATTCATATTCCTTTTTTTTTTTTTTTTTGTATGTGAGAGAAATGAAGGTAGATTTAATACACAATTGGTTGATTTTTACTTGCAAAATTTCTATGTTGATGAACCAAAATTCAAGAAGCTATGGAGGTATTTTCACTTTTGAAAAAAATAAGCAATTAGATTAGTTTTATTTTTCATACATATGAGGAACAAGAGCTCCTAATGGTTAAGCTTTTTGCCAACTAGACAGTTGTTTGAAAATGCTCTTTTGCAATGTTTGTGATGTAAGGGTTTAATTGACTCTGGCATCTTTCATTTACTTATTAATGCTGAGGTATCTGTTTTGCAAAAAGTTGTCTATACAAGTTCATGTTTGGAAGCTTTATTTTAAAATGTATCTCACTTTGATCATCCATTTTTCAGCATTATTTCAAGTGAAAATACAAATCATTATTGAAGAAACCAGTGTTCAGTAATTATTTATGGTTTTCCATGATAATGAAGTACCTTTTTCCTCCTTACACTATCTCCAGCATCACAGCAAAAGTTAGCATTCATAACATTTCTAGATGTCAGTCAACTCCTCCCTGTTTATGAGCTGGCTTTCAGGACCCCATAATTGGTACTCTTTGAATTAACATCATTTTACATAGCCTTGAGGTTGGCTTATCTGCTGTCTGATCAAAATGCCTCATCTAGATAAGAAGGTTCAAGTACTTAAGCCAGTGACTTTTCAAACTTGAAAAAAATTTAAAACTTAGTGTCAGCTTTTAAATGAAATACACTGCATATCTAGTATATAAAACTAATATAATTTGAAGTGGTGGTTCTTGAAACTAAGAAAAGGGTCACAAGCCTCCACTGTTACTACTGCCGTAACAGTTCTCAGTCTGGAGTGACAACTGTCTAGTGCACCTAGAACTTGAGGTTAGGGGAGAGTTCCAGGAACATATGGCTTTCAGGGATAAAACTGTGAAGATCTTGAACAAACTTGGACCCTACTTTCCAGACTCTAAGGTACATGGAACCCAAGATATGAAAGTTTCAAGGAGAAAATGCCTGATTGTCTAATGCAAAAGCCTTAGATATCAGTTATGACCTTGCTCAATTACATTTGTGTGTCAATTTTGATATTGTTTGATAACTGTGACTGTGAGTCCATGATTTATACTTATTGCTCTACTTCTTTTTGTAATGGAATAAAATTAAGTGTGCTGATAGAGTTTCTAAGTCACACCTGTTTTCTACTAATGATTATTAAGCATTGTAGGTTATGATATTCAAAGATATTTGCCTCTTTGCCCAAGCATTTTTAAAATTAATTTTTTAAACATGTGATTGCTATACATCATTTGGTTTGTAAAGAAAATTTGCCCAACGTGAAATACACCTAGACCAGTCCAGTTGAGAATACCATACACATTATCATCAACAGGCAATAAACCATTTCTGTGTCCCACAAATGTCTTGTCTCTCCATTTTTTTCCCCTGATTTCCTTCCGTGTATGCTTTCCTTCTCCCACCCTCCCTCCACACTGTCTCCAGTGTCCATAACTATTTTCATTGCTTTTATGTCCTCCAATCTTTTAATCCCTACCATAAAGTGTGGACAGTTGGTATATATTAATTGAAAATATACAGTACCTCTCTTTCATAGCCTGGCTTGCTTTACTCAGCAATAAATCTTCCGTATTTGACCACTTTCAAATGCCAGGGTCATGTTATGTTTTTAAAGAATTATTTTTATTTAATTTTATTTATTCATTCATTCATTTATTTTAATTTGACCAGAGATAATCAGAGAGAGAGAGAGGAGAGAGAGAGTGAGAAAGAAGCCACCAGATCCAGGACTTGAACTGTGGTCAGTCATGTGGGAATGTCCAGAGCCTTAACCTCCATGCCACCTGCTGATCCCCAAGTCTTTTTATTTTTTTATGACTGAATGGTATTCTGTAGAGTACAAATGCCACACTTTTTCCAATCTATTTATTCATTCATGGACATTTGTATTGGTTCCATGTCTTTAACAATTGTGAATAATGCTGCAATAAACATTGATGTGTAAGTGCTTTTCTGACTGGCCATTCTCCTGTCCTTTGGGTAGATACCCAGGATTAGGACTCTTGTATCATATGGTAGTTCTATTTGTAGGTCTTTGAGGAACCTCCATCTTGTTTTCCACAGTGACTGGACCTAATTACATTCCCACCAGCAGTGTAGGAGAGTTCTCCTTTCAACACAACCCCACCAACACTTATCATTTTTTGTATTTTTAATCTTTGCCATTCTGACAGCGGTTAGGTTATAGTATCTCATTGTGGTTTTAATCTGCATCTCTCTTATGATGAGAGATATTGAGCATTTCCTGATATGTATCCTGTTTTAAGACATTTCCACAGTTGATACTGATACACAACCAGGATTGAGACTCGTTGGCTATCTTATGATGAGGGAGGTTGATCATTTCCTCATAAGTTTTTTGGCTGTTTATATGTCTTCCTCAGAGATTTTTTTTTTCAGTTCATTTTCCCATCTTTTAATTGGGTTAATCTTGTTTTTCAGGTAAACTGCTTGAGTTCCCTGTGTATTCTGATTATCAATCCCTTAATCTATTTTAGGGATTACTGCCTGTGTTTTGGGAGTCTTATTTAAGAAGTCTTTTCCTGCCACAGTGTCTCCCAGAGTTTTTTCCAGTGTTTTCCACCAGTAGTTTTATAGTTTGAAGTCTTAGGTTCAGATTTTTGATGCACTTTGAGTTGATTTTTGTTAATGGTGAAAAATGGGGATCCAGTTTCATCTTTCTACAGGTGGATACCCAGTTTTCCCAGCACCATTTGCTAAAAAGGTTTTCCTTTTCTTGTTGAATTGACTGGTATCCTTTGTCAAAAATCAGTTGGTTGTATGTTTTGGGGTCTATTTCTGGGGTCTCTATTCTATTCCACTGGTCCACCTGTCTGTTTTTGTACCAGTACCATGCTGTTTTGATGATCACAGCTTTATAGTATATTTTGGGACAGGGAGTGAGATGCTGCCCACTCCATTCTTCTTGTGCAGGATTGCTTTGGCAATATGAGGTCTTTATGATTCCAGACAAATTCTATGATTGTTTTTTCTAGATCTGTGAAGAATGTCTCTGGCATTTTGATTGGAATTGTGTTAAATATGTAGATTAATTTGGGTAAAGTTGCCATTTTGATTATATTAATTCATCTGGTCCAGGAACATGGGATGTCCTTCTACTTTTTTTGTGTCATTTTCAATATCTTTTTAAAAGATTTTCATAGTTTTCTTAGTAAAGGTCTTTGATTTCCTTAGTTAGATTTATCCCTAGGTATATACATTTGTGGCTATCATAAAATGGATTCCTTTGTTCAGTTCTACCTCAGTCAAGTTGTTTGTATATAGATATGCTATAGATTTTTAGATGTTGATTTTGTATCCTGCCACTTTACTGCATTCATTCATTACGTTGGGAAGTTTTTACATGGAAACCTTTAGGTCTTCTACGTATGCCATCATGTCATCTGCAAATAAAGATATTTTCAACTCTTCTTTGCCTATTTGAATGCCTTATTTTATATTATTCTCTTTTCTGAGTGCTTTGTCTAAGATTTCCAGCATTATATTGAAAAGGAGTGGAGAAAGTGAACAGCCTTGTCTAGTACCAGTTTTTAGTGGAAAAGATTTCAGCTTTTTCCCATTCTTGCCATTCTTGCTTAATTCATTAGTTGTTGGAGGCTCATATATGACTTTCAACGCTGATAGAAGTTTTGACACTCTAATTCAACTTTATGGAGTTCCCAGACCCCATTCTAAAGCCCATTCAAAATACTAGGTCTCCTTTTTTGTCCTGATTTCTGTTAAATGACAGAAATACTTCAGAATGAATCACTTTGTAAGACATATTCTTGAATCCTTATTCAAAAAATCAGAATTGCAAAATTTCATCTTTAAAAGTATTGTGAGAAGTCCAAAACAGAAAACTGTCCCTACCTTTGCCCTTGATTATTTCCTACTAATATTGAAGTAACAAGTTAACTGAAACCTTTGCAGGAAAGAGAACAAAAATCTTTAGGGAAAAATATTTGTAGGCCATGAGTGTTTTTTCCCTCCACTATGGGTGCCAGAGGTTAAACAAGAGCAGCTGTTGGTAATTTGTTATAGACTTGGAACTTAGAAATAAAAACTGAAAAGTAAATTTGGATTCCAATTTTCTTTTCAACTTCACCAGGGAGCAGTTACTGGTTTATTTTGTTGTTGGGTCTCTCCTTATGTAAGTGTGGAGGAAAATTGGAATCTTATTTTGGGATAAGTCTAACTCCTGAATGTTGAGAGCTTTCACCTTAAATTTTGTTGGAATAGCATAAAAATTGATTTTTGAGAAATGACCAATTCTCTGTTGTGGACATATACCATTCACCCTCCTGAAGCCCTTATTATTTTCTGTCATAAAATTTTAAGAAATCATCTTGGGGTTTTGTTGATGATAAATAGTATATTGAGTCTTTAATTTGTGGCACATATTTTCTAAAAATCTCTTTTTGTCTCTTTTTTAAAAATTTGACAGAGGATTCATACATTAGAAAGAGAAATGGAAAGAGAGAGAGAGAGAAAGAAAAAAGGGGAAAAGCATACCTATTGGGGATGGCTATGCCACAACTCCTTCATTTCTCCCTCCCTTTGGGATTTTGGGCATACTTGAACACATGTATGGCCTGTTTCTTGAACTACTGTGTCCAGGACTTGAAATATGCAGTCAGCCAGGTGGGATCCAGCCAGTTTAACTACCATGCCACTGACTGGCCCACTACAGATTTTCTCCCTCCCTCCTTCCCTTCCTTCCTCCCTCTTCAACCCCTTTCTCTCCTCTCTCTCTCTCTCTCTCTCTCTCTGTTTCTATCTTTCACCAAATGAAAAACATTTGTTACTACACAGATAAGACAGAGAGGATAAAATTATTTACATGTTGTTCTACAGATTTCTTTTCAGTGACACAAAACCCAGAGTAGAGGGAACCAGCAGTTAGCGTAATGGCTATGTTGCTAGACTCCCATGTAGTCGACCGCAGTTCGTGTCCCGGACCCGGTGACTTAAAACTCAAGCCGGGCGTGTGTGCATGCATGCCCAAGATCCTGAGAGGAGAATGGAGGAGAAGGGATTGCGGCGTGACCATCCCCCCTGGGTGGTGGTTTCTCGCTTTCTGTCTCTATGTCTGTCTCTGTCTGTCTGGCAAGTATACATGCCCTAGAGTGAAAACCTCTCCAAAAAAAAAACAAACAAAAAACCCAAAGTAGAATAAGGTTAACTATACCAAACTAGTCTCTTATATTAAATAGGAAAATAAACCTTTTTGTTTAAAGGGTATATAGTCTTTCCATTCCCCAATCATTTATTCGTAGGAATAGAATTAAGAACAGTTATGGGAAATTAGGCTTTAGGTAACATCATCATATTTCTATCTTGTTTTTAAAAGTTTAACCTGTTTTTATTTTCACTTGGATTTCTTTATTCTCCATGTAATTTGGGCTTTATTTATAAAGACAATAATTTTAACACAATGATAGGTAGCACATGGTTATCATATTCCAATCAAATTTGGTATGCATTCTTTTCTTCTATTCTTGTACTGTGCTTATTAAATTTTGTCATTTTTATACTTCCCCCTCATTTATGATACACTAAAAATCTATAATTTTAAAATTAAAATGTTAGCAGTAAGCTGTTTTCTAATTCCTGTGAAATCCTTTTTATGAAGAACTTTGTAATAGTACGTATACACACACATGCACATACACAGAGAGATATTTCTTATATTCATACCATGATTCCCACCAAACTCAAATGGATAAGACTTATGATGTTGTCATAGGTAGTAGAATTTCTTCTTAAAATTTTCAAATTATTCCTTTATGCTTATTAAGTCCGTATTTGGCATACTCAGTTGGTGTTATGCCTAAGTTTTCCCAGATGTTTCATAGTTTAATCTCATGATATCATCTGGTGTTGAATTTATCAGGGTGCCCAAGGCCCTCGGGGACCAGCAGGTTCTCCAGGACTCAAAGGTGATGGCTATCCTGGTGTGGCTGTAAGTATGGACATTACTTTCCTTCTTCCTGTTCCTTCCATTCGTCTCCTCCTTTTGTCCTTCCCGTCCTTTCCTCTGAGTATTGCATACAACAAGGATACCCCTCCTTCTCTTTTATATCATCTCAGGGACCTCGAGGATTGCCAGGACCCCCTGGACCAATGGGTTTACGTGGAGTGGGAGACACTGGAGCAAAGGTAAGATTTCAAGTAGGCAACCTACTAGCTTCTAAAAATGTACCAGTAGATAAGTGACTTTGGTAAAGGTGAAATTTTTTATCAGACGTGATAGAAAAGTAGAGGTGTCTGAAATAATAAAATTGGTTACCTTCATTCATGGACTTTCTGGAGAATTTACACTAATCTGAACACTCAGATTAACTTTTTATTTATTTTTAATGGACATAGGGCACATGAGTTCACCAGAGACAGATAGAGTACATCCTCCAACGGGGCATGGACACATCACAATCCCTTTTCCTCCATTTCTCCATCCTGTTGGACCTTTGGGAATGCATACACATGCTCTGGGATTATTGAGTTATTCAAACTGCTGGGGCCTGGATTCCAACTGTGGCCTACCACATGAGATTTTGCTCTCTTTGCCACTAGGCTACTGGCTACCCCATGGACACATGGACTAACTTTAGTGCTTTTTCCCTGCTGGTGGTAATTCTCATTTTCCTTTCTTGCTTCCTCTTCTTGTACTAAGATCAGGGTTCAGTTTGGTTTCTTTCTCCTAAAAATTTCCCTAGAAACTCTTGTCCTACTCCATGGTTTTAACCACTATGCATGTGCCGATGGCTTCCAAATTGCTATATTCCTTTTCCTGAGCTCTGATCTCTTGTATCTATTTTCTTACCATCTATTTCCTCTTGGACTTCTCACAGATATCTCTAACTTAATATCCAAAATAGAACCCTTGGTTTTCACCACAGGAGCTCAAGCCAGAAGACCTAAGAATCGCCATTGGTCCTTCCCTTTTCCCCTCCTCCCTACCTGTCTAGTCCTTTGCTAAATCCTATCAATTTTTTTCCAAAATGTATATTGATTCTAGCTCCTTTTCTCCTTCTGCTTCCACCAAGCAGACTACCATCATCTCTTACTTAGGTTATAAAAATAGCCTCTTTTCTGCTTTCTCATCTTCCATGTCTGTCCTCCTATAACTGAGCAGGTAGAGCGGTCTTTTAAAGTTAAATGTCAGATTGTATTCCGTTCTTTCTCAGAAACACTCCTCCAGTGGCATATCTTTGGTACTTGAACTCCAACTACTGAACCACTGTTGCTGGCCCACAGGACCCTTCATAACCACAAAGGAGACTTCATAACATGGCCCCAGCTTCTAGCCATTTCTTCTTTGCTGTCTAAGTCTAGCTACACTGTCTTGCCCTATTGCAGCTCACTTATACTTCAGAGCCTTGGAAATAGTAAGTCATAAGTTGGGCATAGATAAAGAATATTTAAAATTTTGATTTGTGTGAGTATTCTATTCTCAGACTACTTAAAATACAGACTGAAATAAGTGATTTTACGTAGTTTTCCCTCCTAAAGTCGCTTGCATTTGTTTTCATATATATTTTAAGGGAAAAATTTCAAGAAAAAAGGTGTTTCATAAAAAATTTCATTCTACCTTGGGAACCAGCAGTTAGCGTAATGGCTATGTCGCTGGACTCCCACGTAGTCGACTGCGGTTCACATCCCGGACCTGGTGGCTTAAAACTCACGCTGGGCACATGTGCGTGCATGCTCAAAATCCCGAGAGGACAATGGAGGAGAAGGGATTGCGGCATGACCATCCCCCCGGGGGGTGATTTCTCGCTTTCTGTCTCTATGTCTCTCTCTGTCTGTCTGGAGAGTGCACGCACCCTATAGCGAAAAACCTCTCTAAAAAAAAATTTTCATTCTACTTTTATGGTGGGCTGTGTATGTGTGTGTGTGTGTGTGTGTGTGTGTGTGTGTGTGCGCGCATGTGTTTTTCTTGTGTGTATGTTTGATGCCACCATGCAGATATGTCATAAGTGAAACATATACTATCTGTGTTAGCTTGCACAGAGGCTGACTAGAAACAGTAGGCTGCAGCTACCTTCTAGGTGCGGACAGAGAGCAGAGAAGAGGATGATAGTAAGGGCTCACCTCCCTCCCTCTCAGCTGCCTTTTCCCTCTTCCCATGGAAAATGTAGTATTTGGGATATCTTTAGCCTGGGAAGGAAATGTTAAGAGTGAGATGGCCTTAGGGTCAAAGGAGCTCAAATCATAAACTTGAAAATAAAGAAAATTCTAAAAGCAAGTAGAAGCTTTTGAGTAACTTTCAAAATCATCTTATTTTTATAGAGAACTCAAGGTCTCTATGTGGCTTCTGAAGGAAATTTTTGAAACACATATACATACTGGTACAGAAAGAGATCTTTTGAAAACTCTAATTCCAATTCATTTGGTTCTTCTGGTTAAAGTGGAGATGGGACTCTCATAATACCAAAAGTGTTCAATGGCAGCAAAAGTATAGGACCCAAATGTGTGCAACATTCCTTCCCTTTTGAGTTAAAAATGAAATATCATTCAGGTTTTTGGAATGTTTTTGGTTTTAAATACATGTATGTCCTGATAATGTTTTTTATTTAAACTCTGTGTAGTTGCCTTAAAATCTTGGCCTTCAGGCATTTACTTGTAAGATAAATGTGTTTGGAAATAAGGAAATCATTAAGGTTGACGATTAATTTATGGTAGGTTTTTGTGCTATTTAGTGAAGGTCACATGTGTTTAGCACATGACACCGACATTAAAATCAAAGCGTCTATGTTTCCAAATATATAAAAAGCAGTCCATGACCTCTAGTACCCTTATGTTGCTCCGTTGCATTCTCCCAAGTGGAAAACTTTTATGAATTCAGTGATTATACTTCTATATAAAATTACCTAAATTTAATTCAAATTTTGACAAGACCTTTTTGAGATTTCTTTGTTCTTTTTTATTTTTATTTTTTGGAGATGTTTTTGCTATACGGTGTGTGTGCTCGCCAGAAAGAGAGAGACAGAGACAGAAAGCGAGGAATCATCCCCCCAGGAGGGATGGCCATGCCACAATCCCTTCTCCTCCACTCTCCTCTCAGGATCTTGGACACGCATGTACACATGCCCAGAGCGAGTTTTGGGACTCGAACCGTGGTCAACTACATGTGTCCAACGACATAGCCATTACGCTAACTGCTGGTACCAAGACCTTTTGAGATTTTTTAAATCCCTATAAAATTGACAACTTTCAAGGAGATAATAGATACAATTTTTAAGTCCACTTTTGAAACATGCTTGGAATAATAATTAACAACCTGATCTCTTGCTAGGTGTGATGTGCTCATGTAAGGGTCTTGAGTCCTCTACCCAAACTGCTAGCTCATTGATGTGGAAGACAAGCTTAAAGACCTTATCTATCAGGGCCTGTATGTTATCACTGGAGCTCTATGGAAAAGAGGAACCCCTTGTGGAATAGAAGGAATCATGACATTAATCTCTCTCTTTTTGAGAAGCTGCAGATAACTCTTTGCTCCTGTATTTTCAGCCCCAAAGGCTCATGAAGTACATGTAGCCCAAAGACTGATTTCCTGGGGTTTCAGAGTAGGGGACTTTGTTTCTGACCACATAGAAGAGGGATACAAGACATAGCTCTCCTGAGCCCTGTAAGGGCAGAGGCAACCTGCCATGTACCTCTCTTAGATCTTTCAGCTCCACTGCGGTGTGCTAGCTCATCACAGGGAAAACCATGAACTTCTCCAAAACCTTGGAATTGTTGAACTTAGCCCAATCCTTGCACAGAGGAAATCTAAACTGGACTTTAGGGTCCTCAAAGGACTTCTTAACTATCAAATGGTTGGAATAAAGTCTGTGGGCAGAAAAGACTTGTTAGCTTGTTCTTATTATAGTCATAATAATAATTATAATGATCATATATTGCCTAAATACTTCCAGAATACTGTTTGACTTTTAACAACCTTCCTATTTTATAGACGAGGAAGCCAAGGGCCAGAAAGGCTGAATAACTTGCTTCTTTACAATATAAATATTTATGATACTCTATTTGTTTTGTGTATGAGAGGGAAACCATGCAGATGGATGAATGGCTAATGGATGAATAGATCAGCAGAAAGCATGATTTACCCTGATCCACAGATGTTCAATCCCCAATGCTGTTTGTCCTCTATCTTGGCACTGCTTTGTATTTAATTGGATTATTTCTTTACATTCTAATTTTTCTACTATCTAAACTTAAATTATATAAACTCTGAAAAGAAGGATAAACCCAAACCTAAAAGAGTTAACATTTTCCAAAAACTTGAAATGTTTGAATATTGTAAATACATGCTTTATTAGACAAAACGATCCATAGTCATAAATTAAAATACAAGTCTATGTGAAATTCCACTGAGTATCATTATTCTAAAAATGTTCCCAGCATTTGAATCACTCTTCTGTTCCCTGCAATGGCTCACATATGTGCACACCACCAGCAGGCAGTGGTAGAACAGAGGACTGATTCACGCAGAGATGCATTAGGGAATTTGTGGATTCCATTGGCAGACATGGACTGGACAAGGAACTCAGTCTTTGAACAGTGCCTGACAGGAGGGCTAGGGTAGGATATAGACTCAGTGATAACGAAGTTAGGGGTCCATGATTCCAAAGTAGACTTGAAATCCACATTACCACAGGGAGGACAATCAACTCAAGAAAAGGCTAATTAAAGCCAGAGACATATAAAGTTTGAATGTCAGGCCGTTTGACCTTAGATTTCAGAAAAGGTCACATTCAGAACTAGGAAAATTTTTCAATTCAGTCCGACACATGATCTCAAAAATCTTAGTTGCACTGCAGTCTACCTTATAATTTTCAGTATTGTTTCCATTTCTCCTTGCTGCTTTCTTGGTCTTGTATTTCTCTTCCCAAGAGTACATACATACTTTCCCTTTAGTCCTGCAGCGACACACTAAATCCCTTCATTGTTCACTGCCCACATCACCATCAACACATATTTAATTTTAATCATGCAGACCAGAGGAAATTTCCCCCAGTGGAAAACTATATGGCATGTTAGTATAGGAGAGCCTGTTCTTCTTCCTGTCACTAGGAGCAGAGTCAGTGTTTCTATTCTCCAGGTTTTTAACTCAGCTAAATAAGACTCTCTTTTTTCAATGCTGTTCTTGACACAGG